TGTTGTTGTAATATCTCGAAAACGGTCTGAGATATCGACTTCGAACAAGTACGCATGTTTTGTTTAAAACATATCGTAGAATGTGAATTTTGTGCTACTAGTAAAACTGGTTAAAAGTCTATTCAAAAAAACAAAATTTGTACTTACACTTTGACACTCTGCATCTCGAAGTCTATTAACTTTTGGATAAGGCAAATGTGCCTGAAACGCAATATTTTGGCCTAAACAATATGATAGTGAATTTTTCGACATTAGTTGAGGACCACCCTGTAAAAGACTCAAAAAAATTCTTGATGGTCAATCAGCAGACACATCAAAGGAATGATAAAATATTCCTTGATTTATGTGCCAAATAGTTCTATTTTATATTAAAATTCTTGTTTTCGTGGCTTAGACAATTTTTTTAGAGCAATACAGGAGGGAAGTCATTCGACTTATGATGCTGTGCTGTTGACGTCATGAGGCTTCTTACTTCTAACAAAATTTATTAGCCTAATTTTCATGTTTCAACATAAATTTTTATCCGATATTTATCAACTTGACCATGCCTATTATTTTATTAACTGTGGGCTATTTTGTCGGGTAATGGGTTTCTTTAATTGATTTCTTTTACGTTCAATTTTATAACTTAATTTGTATATAACATTCTCGTAATTGTTTGGAATCATCACTTTTTTGTTAATTTCACAGTGGGCAAAAGGTTTCAGATATCTATCTACTGTGTTAGATATCTAACACATGATTTCGTAAAATTTCAATAAAATTGGCAATTTACTTTCACTGAAACTTCAACACAATCGAACATTATTTACTTATTCATATCCTTTTTAAAAACGTGTCGTTATGAAAGAAATTTAAAAATGATATACACGCGTTCGGCAAAACAAATGTTCTTAAAGTGAAATGGAAACTGCAAGAGAGGTTTTTTAGTGACCTTCCTAGACACACATCAATGTTTTTAGTTATTTGGATCCAGGGCGATCCGTTATATTCTAAAAATATCAGCAAAAAATAGCAGTTTTTTTTAATTTGATTTCGTAATTTAAGTTTTGAACAGCCTAGAAGTTGGAATAATGGCAGTATGGGCTAAACGTTACTTGACCAATTGCATGTCGGGTTTTATGGTAAAGATCTGATGAGTTTCATTCAATAAATTTTCAGTCTATCCAGTCTGAAATTGTTCTGAACTTTGAAATCGCAGTTCACTTTRTTTTTAACAAACTTACTGTTTGTTAAACGTATTAGAAATTGTTAACGATTATTTTTACTATAAAAAGTATTATCCTTTTAGATTACAATGAACACAAAAGTATAGTATGGACTTATTGAAAATACCTAATCTTTCAACGATTTTTTTGCTACCCAAATAAGTGTTCATAAATATGCCGTAAKKCCATAATCTCAGTTAATTTCGCTCCATTCTATAATCCGATAATTGAAAGTTATATGCYCTATCTCCATAAAGATAGAGGCTATTAATTCACGAAAATATATTCGAGTAAAATCCCCATTTTGCTCCGATGTAATTAATATTTTAACTTGAAACATTAATTATTTTTCAAATGRTTGTATTGTTGATTAGTAGCCGATCATTTAGATATGACGATCGCAATAATTTTCTATTTTATTAATTTTGCTATTATTTAACACCCTTGCAATTGATCTTAATAAATCTGTTTCGAAATTTTCCAACTTTATGAAGTAATTTTTTGCTGTTTATGGAGTATTTATTCTGATTTTCAGTAAATCTGATTCGAATTGAATATTGTCAGCATTTTTTCATTATGATATAAATATCTAATTGATTTTAATTGAATACTATATTTCGATTTCCACTTAGAAGCAGTAAACTTTTAATTTATCTTCTTTAAAATAAATATTTTATACGCTATCGACGATATTATATATTCTCATTAATCGGAAATTTCGTGGATAGTTCAAAAACATAAATATTCAAAATATATACATATTTTAAATTTTTCAATTGGAAGTTATCTCATGATTGGTTTTCTCGCATTTGGAAATATTTACAGGATAACCGTCCGAGGATAAATCTTCCTTTCAATCGCCGAATTCTCAACGGTTTCTGAAAGATCGGTTTCTAAATGCTTTAGGCGCCGTTATAGTTGTTAGACGATAAATTATAAGGCATACAAATCGCACCTTTGGGGATCCCGAAAAACCGAGCAAAATAAGTTTACCTTTCAATAACTAGACCGCATAATTCACGTTCGCATTGTACCCACTACCTTAACGAGTGAATAATATTAACTACATTTATGCATTTATAATAATTTCAAAATTATTTCGGAAGAAACATTTCAATGTTTAGGGAATAAAACTGACCGTTTTAGTACCTCATAACTATTAAGGATTATCGCCTTTTGGGCAAAAAACATTTGATTTGATATTGTTTAAAAATGCCCTATACTTTACGATATTTAACATTTTTTCAGGTGATGAACGCAGACAATCGAACCTGCGTTCGAATGGCACACCCTCAAATCCTCAGATGAAAACTGCGGTTGAATAATACGAGGGGTATATCTAAGAATTTTTAACGCTCTCCTTTTGTTGGTGTGCCCTAATAGATTAGTGACAATGAGTGCCTTCTATCTGTCCTCAAAATGCATGAGATCTTTTCCGACCCTATCTATTCTCTATGAACACTCTCGACTATTAGACTAGATATTTCTTCTTTCTTTGACTATTCTAGTTCCCAATGGTGACTTCAGGGGTTGCGTGTTGCATGCGTCTATCTGAACAATAAATTATTTTTCTGCAAAACTAACTTCTAACTTAGTGGTTTGCATTAGAACCTATCCGTATTTTCATAATGCATGTATGTATGTGTTTGCTGTCCGAGTGTTTGATCACATGAATTCAAAGTTTTGAGGAAAATGATTTTGAAGCATGCACCGTTTTCCTACAGAGTGTGCAATAAGTAGATGCAGAACTTAAATCTGCATGTGGAAGCTGTGAAAGTATTTCTAGCCTTTCAGATTAGGATTTTTAATTATACAGGGTGTTCCGTAAATATGTTAAGATATTTTAACAGCGTGTTCTTCAAGTCATTTCAGAAAGCGGTTTTTCTGAGAATTTTTTAAATTTAAGGGTTCATTGTTGAGATATTGGATTTTCAAAATGGCGAAAAATATTAGTTTTTGTTGTGTTTCTTTAAAACGGTTAAACGTGTAAACTTTTTTGTGTAACCAATTTTGGTATACTTGATAATCTAATTGAGTGCCATTCTATGGTAGTGTTTTGTGGTTCTGTTTACTTTTATACAGAGTAGAAATATGGAACCCCTACTTTTGTTTTGATCAGAACTTTTTTGTATGCACTTAAACTTTTATCAGCATGATTTTTTTAGTTACTACAAATTATTTACCTAGTTTTTTATCCCTTATCGGTTTTTCCTAAGACCACTATTTTCAGCACAAAAAAATAAAATAGTTTTATTTGCCATAGTTTTTTCAAAATGTGTAAGTACGTAACTAAGGGATTTTTATTTATTAACTTTTGAATACAAAAAGTGCAATAAACAAAGGAGGCTGTGTCTATGCCAGTTAAATATCGTTTAGTATTCATTGTCAAAAATTTTACAGCGGCTGCTGACAGTTTTCAAGTTAAGTAAGTTTAGTTAAATTTATTAAAACTTAATAATTGTAATTGGTACCGAAATACACATTTTCGAAAAATAATTTAGGTTGATAGTAATTAACTAATAATGTGTAGCAAAATTGTCATATGAAAACGTTATTAGATTTTAAAAACAAACTTAATTGCTTACACATTTTGAGAACGCAAAGAAAACGATTTTATTTTTTTGCGGGCAAACTAGTGGTCTTAGGAAAAAACAATAAGAGATAAAAAAGTAGGCAAATAATTTGTAGTATTTACAAAAAATATGCGGATAAAAGTCTATATGCACAGAAAAAAGTTCTGAAGAAAATAAAAGTAGGGGTTCCACATTTCTACCCTGCATAAAAGTAAACTGAACCACAAAACAGTACCATAGAATGGCACTCAATTAGATTATAATGTATACCAAAATTGAAGTTTATATGTTTAACCGTTTTAAAGAAACACAGCAAAAACTAATATTTTCCGCCATTTTGGAAGTCAAATATCTCAACAATGAAACCTCAAATTGAAAAAATTCTCAGGAAAATCCCCCTCTAAAATGACTAGAACAGCACGCTGTTAAAATATTGTAACATATTTACGGAATACCCTGTATAATTGTTTTAAGTGAACAGAACCAACATTCGTATTTGATGATTTTATATTTGCTGGATGTCATATTTGTTAGCTGTCACCAAATATAAAATATTAAATTATTAAATACAAAATTTTAGCTGGCAGTTAAAAATATAGAAAATCTGATCATGATTAACAAATATTAGTAAAACACACATTTTGTAATTGCTTTAATGATATTTTTCACACAAAAGCTCTAATTTGCATTCGCATTTTGTAGCTAAATTTCCGATTTCATTTCTCGTCCATTAATTTGATATTTGTGAATCAATGTTGCTTTTTTACAGAATGTTAGCTAATTGAACCTTTGAATTTTCGGGCACTGCTTTAAAATTTTCAATCGTATTTAATTGTTGCGCGCCTAAGAGCTTCAGACTCGTCAACACTACGAGTTTCAGAGCAAAGAAAATTCGTAAAATTTAAGTAATTTGCTTACTAATTTATCCTAGTTTTAATATACCTGAGCCTACAGAGCCTCCGAACAAACAAAGGCTGATGAATATTTATGAGGAGTTATTGGGTTTGATTTACGGCTAAAACCAATTGCTCCAAATACGTTAGGGCATTTATAAATTGAAAATTGCATCAGTTGACATAAACAGATATTTAAATAATGAAAAAAAACCTTCAGCGCACAGCAAATGCCGTTTTACATATCCAGTCGAAACATGTAAAATGTATAGTCTCCTAATTAATATTAATCAATTATATTATATTACTTGAAAGTAACGGAAAATACCCATTATATAACTTGAAAGTAACGGAAGCACATAATTGAAACGTACATAAACGAACGTTTTTGTAACTTTTTGAAAATGCTCAATCGCTAATCAAATCCATGATTCGTGGCAAATTGTGAGAACAACTCGTGAAAAGCTATTCACCCTCAAATTTATATCTGAAGCAAAAAATATTCTCTCTAAATTTCTAAAAAGAACGTTTAATACACATTTCCCGTTTATTGTTCGTTTCCATTTGCCGTTCAGTTATTAAAAGAGATGTTAGGGATTGACGAGGGGTGATCCATCTTTAAAATTAAAACAAATCGTTCACTGTGCTGCAAAAACAGAAATTTATTAGGAGAATATTTTCTTTGCCCTTTCGGCATTACTGCGTCATTTATTCTAGAGTAATTGAATAAATGGAATTTCTGGTAAATATGTATGTATTATAATGTAAGATTAAATGAATTCGACTATGGGAAAGGGTGGTATTAAACCCGATTGTTCTACTACTGTAGTTTACGATTAACTTGGATTCCGAATATTTCTGAAAGGCATAAATACGTTGAATTTAAGGGTAAATGCCATTTACGCAAACAATCCTTTTGGAAAATCATGTTTCATAGGAACTTAGATATACAGGGTTCACGAACACCTCAGGTCCGCCATTAAACTTAACAAAAATTTAAATGTGTTTGATGAAAAAAATTGTTTATGAAAAATGTGTTTAAATTTGAGTTATGCAAAAATGCAGTTCACTATTAACCATTTCATTTTTAATAGTTAAATTTTATTTGCAAATACGCGCTATGTGTGACAGTAAAATCAGTTCTCACTTTTATCGGTGTGTTCACATTTATAACTTTCAAAAACTACTTGGTATGGAATTTCAGGTAATGAAATTTTTGTTGCTGAATTTGGAATAAAACGTTCTGCTATTAGTCTGCAATTATGCAAACGGAACAAATTCAAAACAAATTTAAAAAACGTTTAGATTTGCCGATAATTTTATCATTAAGGTCCAAAGTTGCTCATATTATTAGAAAGTGTGATTCACTTTGGGAATTTTCTTCGGGGGGCGACTAACCAACGTACATATCGGGAAAAACCACAGAAACCCAACCACTTCAAGTGTAAAGATTCTTGGGAGAAATGGAAAAATATGTAGTGGATAATTCTAATATATAACAACGTTTATGTTTTCTTAACTAGTTTTCAAATTTATCCAGTATCATTATCTGCGGCGTAATAATGATAAAAATATACACTGTACGTTGTAATTATAATATCACAAAGCAGGTTAACTTTTAAAAAGAATATAGAAACGATTGAAAAAATGTTAAAAGGCAATTACTATTGAGATGAAAATGTAACCATACGTTGCATAAAGAAACGATTTGCATCTGAAAGCTTCAGTCTAAACTGCTTTGAAGTTAAATACTATTGAGATATGAACATCGGATTCTGGTAACATCAAAAATGTTTTCGCGTTGCACCCATTGTTATTAAGTTCCAGTCCAGTTTCCAAAACTGGAAAAAAGTTAACAAATTATTTCAGCTCGCATGAAAGAACAAAGGAAATTAAATTGCGATTTAGTAAAAGAAACCAATCAATAGTTATGCACGCATCTTGCGTCAATTATTTCAATTATTTTTTAATATCGTCAATATTGGCGAAAACATCTCCGGGACATGCACCACAGATGGAAAGCATCACAGATCCTATTAAAGAAGCAGAATAGTGTTGCCGATGCACCTTATACACAACATTAATATCCAAAATTGATCTTGAAAATTGTATTCTGGATTTTCAGTTAATTTTGTTTAAACATGTTTAGCTACTGAATTACAGTAGCAGTACAAAAGTACTGTATTTGAATGATGTTTAGAAATTGTTAAATTTACTTTGTTTTATAGGACTGATAGGGGTAACGGCCTCCCTCAATCCAAACGGCGTTGGTCTCGAATCAAATCCAGCATTTTTAATGGCGAGACCCCAGTGTGACTTGAAAACTACTATCACACATCCAGACACCAAAGTAATTCTCTCTCAGGAATCAGGAAAGTGTCACACCACAATGGTGAACTCTTAAAAATATGTCCGAACTTATTGAACTTCGTATTGTAATCCTGTCTTTGATGGCTTCATTACGTATCAAAACAAACACACCCGAAGAGTTTGAAATTTTATTTTAGATAAATAGCTAATAAAGGATACGAAATTAATTATCTAAGACAAAAAGGATATTTGAACGTTCATATTACAAGGCAACGATACCTGAAGCATTAAATAAAGTCCACCTTTACACATAAAGTACCCACGAGGAAAATCATATTGAATCCTAGGCACCCAACAAGCCAATTATTCAACAGCAGACATAATTAATGTCTGTATAAATCTGGATACAACGCAATTATTTCGTACGAAATATTTTGTCTATAAAATAATAAAACGGCGGTTGCTGTTACCTGCCGAATGTCCATCAGAAAATAATTAATTTCCTTTTTTCTGTTATTCCAATACTTGTTAAATTAATAAAAGTTTGAAAGTTTTACACACTATAAAAATACTCGCGAGTTAGCAAAAATTAAAATTATAATAATTAGTTTTGATAGCGTGACGCGGACCTTGGCGATGTTCAGAAAAAAAATATTTCTATTTTTTGCCAACGTATTTATACTTGAAGCCGCAGCAATAAAGTTGTAGTATTTTTAATACTTCAAGTACAAACAAGTAATTCTAATAAATAAACATTTGCCGCATTTTCAGTTAGTAATGATTAAACATTTTTATTAATTTAGCTAATATTCGAATAACAGAATAGAAGAAAGTAATTGTTTCCTGCTGGACATTCGGTTATCAAATATTTCATCCGAATTAAGTGAAACAAAACATGTTAAATTAGCTAATTTCTATCAGCTCAGCATCGGACCAAAAAATAACTTACTGTAATTGAAAAACGAAATTTCATAAATAATACTAATAAAATAACTTGCATGTTTACATACTACTTGATTTTTAAGTGAAACACTACCACTGACTGAATTCAAACTATTCTTGGCAAAATACTACTATATGGGTTGAGCCACGATGTATCGAAAAACAGAAAGTCAGCAGTTCAATTACCCCTTCAATGAGGATTTATTAGACTGTTAACACAGGGTTGTAAGGACATTTCTAAATGAATGCGGTTGTTTGCAAAATATTCCTAGTTTATAGAACTTGGGTGCATTATAAATAGTGTATATTGTTGCCACTGTTTGGACATTTGTTTGTAAAATATGCTTATACCATTGTAATATACTATATTTTACTTTAATGCATCTAGAAAATTAATGAACTTAGATAGACATGAAATAAGATTCGCTCAGTAGATATAAATCTGTTGTAATATATCTCCAGTTATACTATTTCTTACACTTGCGTATTATAAGGGTTAATTCTGTTTGCATTAATAAAAATTTGCCCTACAAATTTAATATAATGTAAATCCAACTAAAATCTTATATCTGGGCTCAAAAAAATTTTTCATATCAACTATGATTTAATCTTAACACAACCCACTGAAAACATTCTGAGATTGTATGATTTGAAATCGTTGTTAGTTCAGTTGTTCAACGTAATTTTCTTACTACTTAAAAGCCTGAAATTACTTTCTTGTGATTTTATTCTAAACTCAAATATTATTGAGTACTTCAAAAAAAGTCCTTTATTGAGCTACGGTGCTATATAAAAACATTAAGAAAATCAAATGTGTACGCACGAAAAATTCTAAATTTCTAAACACTGCATTCAGAAAAATCAAATTATTGAAGCCTATTTGCAGAAAGCATTCCAAATAAAGTGGACACAATAATGTGATTTTAGGCAAAAATCTGACCAGCCGTACAAGAAAAACACTGAATATTTAGATAAGTATATACACAAATATGAGGTTGGACCAACTGGTAACTGTAATTAAATTACATACATTCTATGTGATATTTAAAGTGTGAAAGTTTTCAAGAAACTTTTATCTTCTAAGATCAAATTTATTGAACGATTACATTTTAGAATAATTAAATTCATTATATGCACAAATTTTAAAAGAAAAATGTTGTTGATAAATTTTATTCTTGTTCAAATTGCTTAGGTTTTCAACACGTGATTATACTTTAATAGTCATTCAATTTTTTTGGAAGTTTCCTGCTAAAAGCCTTATCAAGGGACGTTCCAACTTTTTAGACCACTTAAAATGTTGTTGTTTTCAATAATTTGCTGAAACAATAGGAGTATCACAACAATATCTAAACACCGATATAATATGGGAAAATTTTGTATCTAAAGCGGCCCACTTCAAAGCTGAATGTACTATAAAAATATGTAGCTACATATCTTCTTTATTATACATAGGTAACAATAAGTTGTACAATACAAAGCTTGAGTCATCACACACGTAAGATCCATACAGGAAATATTTTGCTTCTACGAAATAACTGTAAAATACATTTTTTGATCCTACTATAGTGTTAAGACAAATTTAGACCAACTTTTCTTAACTTAATATTGTTCTAGTTGTTACTGATTTAATGATATTTTCTGATTGTTAATGTTATAAAAAATTAGGTTTAATGATAATTTGTTTTGTAAATTGGTAAGTTTGCACCAGCATTGTTAAATTCTTCCTCATCTACTTAGTATACAGTTGTATTAATACAGTTCTATTAAATAAACAGAATTTTCATATCTTACTGGCTATTGTATCATATCCGAGAAAAGACCCTTGTTCCTATAAAAAGTGAAATTGAAACGATGATGACTTTTTAAGTGGTATTGTGAGTATCTCAGATGATAATTAGGAATGATTTTAAAGAAGTTGTTAAAGGAATTCAAACATACAACATTTAAAATTTTCTAAGCCACATTGGATGATACAAAAATGTTTTTAAATATTTGACTATTGGATTTAGGATTTTAATCACACAATTTTATTTTTGAAATTCTGTTGCAAAAGCGAGCAATAAAACCATAATTAATAACATAAATGATGTTGCGCCTCAAAAATTTTTGTCTTTAAAAAAGACAGATTTCCCTCACGTCTTTTATTACAGATTGATAAATAGTGCTCCTATTTCGCAATAAGAACGAATTATTTATCAAAACGTAGTCAAGAACTATCACCTAGAGGGTATCCTGCGACACACTTAGGCTTAAGCTGTAAGAGAAAATACCTTAAAGGTAATTTTTCAAATTAATTTCTCTACTAATTGGAATTTTCTCTTACAGCTTGAGCCTAAGTGCAGGATACCCTCTAGGTGATAGTTCTTGATTACTTTTTGATAAATAATTCGTTCTTATTGCGAAATAGAAGCACTATTTATCAATTTGTAATAAAAGACGTGAGGAAATTCTGCCTTTTTTAAAATCAAAAATTTTTGAGGCGAAATACCAAAAAAGAAGTTTGTAAAAAATCAATCCGCCTCAACAATATCGAACTTATCTATAAATGATGTTAACTTAAAAAAATTTAGTTGGTAGGAATGTATTTTTATTTAAGGGGGATTTATTGATAACTTTTCTATGAGTGACCATTGTGATTAATAGTAATAAAAGTTTAATAAAAGGCAGTTTTACGTATATACGTTATTGTACAAATCATAGGATTACAGCTTTCGTTTTATTTTTATTTATACAGGGATTTGGGTAATTGGTGGTTTTATATTTCTGGCTTTACGATTATTAAAATACTTTCACATTTTCAATTTTTACCATTGTATTGTTGTCTAGAATTCACTCAGGAAAAACGGAAAGAAGCGACATGGAAAGGCAAACCGTTTTTTCTAAAATTTTAGTGCATTCTGAATTGTTTACGAACACTCAGCAGCAAAATGAAGAATAAAACGGAATATTCAATCGACACAAGATTCATTCAGAAAAACTGACTTGTTCATTCCTCTAATGGAGGAAAGCAACCTTCTCTTCCTTCCTAAAACGACTGTTCGAAGAATTTCTTGCCCCATTGTCCTGGACACAATTTATTCACACGCTCACAAACGAGTTAAAACACGTACTAAAACAGCAATTTCGTCGCGAATATTTGCACGGTTGATTTTAATGCAACTGGTCCTGACGTGCTCAGCAAATTTTTAATCTGCCAAGATTTGAAGTTACTTCACTTCATTTTCATGTTGCCACGAAGCACAAGTACCAAACATTTTCGACTTAAAATAATCAAATAACGGTTTGCGGGGCGCGTGGCAGTGAAAAACAAACAGGTTAACTTTGCCGGTAGTGACAGGAAAATAATATTACAATTTAGCAAACAGTCGAATGGCATTTAAAAGTGTGCCTAACTACTTTCAACTACTTGCCTGAAATGTTGTTAATTCGGTATATTGAATGTAACCTTAATAGTTATATCGAAGTTGCTTTTAACATTTATATCAATGCAAAAGGAAAGTGTAACAAACAGAAACAAAACCAGCAAATCTATATTTATCTAAAGAGAAACTAAGTTTTATTTCAATCTGGAAAAATAAAGTTAGTTGAAAATAGGACATCGAGCTATATTACTACGCTTACGTCTAAGTTCCTAATATTAATTTAAACGTCCATAACTAATATAAATTATTATGAGATATTGCACAATATGCGTTGTTCATTAGGTACATAAAATTTTACATTGAACTACTGGTAAAAGATCTAGAAAAATTCGTTGCGGTTAAACCTTTTAATATACGTATATTTGTCTTATCACTTCAGCTTTTCAAATAAATCAGCATTAGTATAAACCTGATGGCAAGTCGGTTAGCTTCCCGCCCAAAGATCCATTACTATGAGTTAAAAATTCCTTATTTCTAAAACTGCCACTTTTGCCTTCCCCTTGCAGTTGTCCAGAATACATTCCCGCATTTCCATGGCCTCTTTTTATGAGGAAGCCCGGATTAATTGTTTTCTTTTCTTGGATTCTGGGGAAATAGCAAGACGTGTCCACTAAAGCATTACTGGGTGATGGGAGAAACATGATCGATTTCTCTTCACAATATGAGCCAAATTTCGGGCGCATGTTGTTTTTAATATACACATTTGAAACGCTTTTGACCAGTGATGTGTTCCTGGCTGAATCACTCTTAGGCTTTCCGTGCCCATTAAAATCAAAACTTTGGTTCGTAACAACTATATCCACCATGGAATCTAGTCCGTTATCTATTCTGTCTAAACTTTTGCTCTTAGCATGATTACTAACTCGACTGTCATACGTTTCAAGATTCATTTGTTTCTGGCAAACATTAACTGTAGTTGAATAATAACACGAGCCGACAATCCCGTTCTCAAATGGTTTGTTCAGTTGCCGAAACGACTCTGACCTTTTAATGCTACCGCTTCTAGACGTTACATGCCTTTTGGTTCTTTTGTCCGATGATCGTGATTTAACATCCGACATTTTCTTGCAAAGGCTTGAACCCATCGCCAGTGTTTCAGGAGTTGAAACTCTCTGATCGCCACATTTTGACGCGCTTAGCAATGAATCGGAGCCCTCCGTGCTTGTATAGGGCGTTTCATTTTCGAAGAAAAGCTCTTTCGGGCAATAGTAGTAGTCCTCGGACGGCACGAATAGATGAACTAGGCTTTTTGCTCGTCGTGGTGGCAGAGGATGTAGCTCGGCAGGAATTATTTCATTATCACTGTTAATAGCGTAGTCATCAGCATCAATGTGGATCTTAAGCTTGCTGGCCACTTGAGCTTCCTCCAAGCGTCTTTTTTCATTTTCAAGTTTCCTCTGCTCTTTTTTGGCTATGTCTTCAGATTCAGCGTCGTTAATAATGTTTCTCAACTCGGCAATTACTTCGTCAATAGTCGTTTCATCATCGATATCTGTAAGCTCCGCGACGGGCTTGGAAAGTTGGTTAGTTGGAGAGCCGTAGGTTTCAAACAAGGAGCCTCTTTGCAATTCTTCTTCGGGAGTCAAACTTCTTTCAGAAGAGGAAATTCCTTCGTCTTCATTCGGTGTTGAATCATCTGAAAACAGCATGGAAAAAATTAATTCAAACGTACATGTAAAATAATTTCTTGCACAACATACGTGTTCTTAAACATTAATTGGATAAAGTTTTACATACTTCGCTTTTTGGTGTACGATCCTTTTGAAGACCTACTGGATTTTAGGGATCTTATTTCTGATTTAAGTTCGTTGCATCGTTCTTTCAAGGTTCGTTCTACACAGGTTAGCGCTCCCTTTTCGTCTTGCAGTGACTGAAATGATTAAAATTGTATAAAATGTTTTATGACGAACAAGCGTTGTTGGAAACACTTTTTCTACAGTCAAAAATATCAGAACTTTGCCAATCAAACGATGTCTGATAAAAGCTCTACTGGAGATTTAAAGGATTTTAATTTTTTTTCTCTTTTCTATATATTTATCACAACGTCAAATTGATAAAATCCCATAAAAAGCGCAGAGATGCTGAAAAGTATTATATACACTAGTAGAAAAGAAACCCGTCTTTGCCACTAAACATTTTTATTTATTTGGCCAAAGGTTTGCTTACGAATGAAGAACCCAATGTTTTTAAGCAATAAAAGGAGCTCTGCTGAATTCCTCATTAACAACATTTATTTTCGCAGTTCATTTATGTATTCCAATAAAAAATTGATGATCTAGATGAACAGGATGCGATTACTATCTACCATTTTTTGTCGATTTCAGCAATCTTCCATATTTTCCACTGAAACAGTGACAACCAACTTTATTGCCATTATGGAATTAAATGTTGAACCATTTCTTGCAAGCAAAAGGAATTGTCAAAATTATTTAAATATCGGTTTTCTTTCGATGATTGTTGATGAAACAACTTTAGCTTTAACATTGGCTTAATTAATTTGTTAATGAGCTTTATATTATCTAAAGGCTGGTCCGTTTTGAAAATATTCTTCATACAAGCTAATGGCAGATTCTTACCTGCATCTTTCTTTCAAGTAATCCAACTTTCTCTCGAAGTGCAGCGTTTTCTTTCTTGAAGTTACTCAGGACATATGTTAGGTTTTCGATATTAATGTTTTTCTTTTCCCAATACTGGATTTCGTCCAGCAAATTTTCAAATCCAGCGGAATTGCTAATATTCTGAAAACCGCAATCAATATTCTAATTTTTTACGAAAAAAAAATTAATAAAGCACATGCCTTTTTTATTACGCTAATATCAAGCCCAGCTTGATCCAACTCGGCTTGAATGTATAAGCGTTTTTGAGAAGATCCAGCTGTGTCCATGAATTTATTAAGAAACCTCAATCCTGCGGAAAGTAATTCTTTTTGTCCACCAGTGGACATCATCATGCCCACCAGAAATCTAAATCGGACTGGCTCACCAAATCGGAGTCTTAATGTGGAAATTGCTTCGGAAACCGAAGAATGTCCTCCAATGGATGGATCGCACGCCTTGGCTAGAAGCTGAAAAACAGACTGGGCCTTTAAAAAGTTAATCGGCATGTATAAGCGATTTAAACAGTCACAGTTATACTAAAAATTAAAATATTTTTCAGATTTGTTACCTGTGCTGCCGTTATTTAGACTAAAATATATTAGCTTTTTTTGCTACGAAACACTGAAACGCAGCCAAGTTAATGCGGGCTTGAAATTATTTAGAAATTTGATGAAGCAAAATACAAAAAAGAAGTTAAATGTAGCAATCTAATCAGCCAGACCAAATTACATAAAATAAAGTAAATATATTCCATAATTAATTTATAATTTACAAACAATCTATTTCGATAAACTTTTAAGCGAAAAAGTTTTTAATTTGGTAAAAGATGCATTTTGAAGACAGTTAATAATGAAACCTGTAAAAGATAAAAACTGATGAGAATATCACAAAAAGTCTATCTTCGACTAAATCATTACAACTACTCACCTGCAAAGCTATTATCCGAGACTTGTTTACGTTGCTCATTATACAGACAGCAACGGTAAACAAACCGGCTGACGATGAGATCAACTTCCTGAGAGACTCCGTATACCTAAGAAACATACAGATAAAGAGTTTAAACATTTCACTATCCCATTATATGAGAAGTAAAAATCTATGGGGAAAAGTAATTTAGATATAAAATTACTTTATTTCATGTATTCCGCTATAACTCAAAGGGACGCGAGCGGCTAAAAATTTATAAATATAATACGAAAATATACATATTTCTACTATATCTGTTAACCTATTTATTGCAAAAAGTCACGAAAAGCGTTAGTACATGTTGAAAGTGATTAAAACCATTAATTGAATATTAGTAGGTAAGTTGCTAAAATACATTAAGTCACTGCCTTAGCCTTTGAATTAATATCCCACATTTTCAGATTAAATTTATCAGGCAACAATTTGTATTCGATTGGGAATTAACACAAGTTAGTTCGTTTACAAGAAGTCGTGTTTAAATCGAATAATAACTTACCTAATACAGCAGTTGAGTAAACATTGCAGACAGGAAAGTTCGTCCAGAAGAGCTCTTCGCTGCAAAGAAGGTGGTAACTTTCCAGTGGTTCCTGAAGAACCTGGAGGACCATGAATTACTGTATTAGATTGGCTAAGCTGAATGGCTCTGAGAAGATCCAGTAATAACGACACCCCATCCAATGGATCGGAGGCAAATTCTTGTACAAAACTGAAAAAAAAATCAATGAAAATTACCAGATTCTCTTAGAGAATGAATTAACTTGAAAGTGTGTTTAGGGTAATTAACAAGAAAAATTTTCAGAAATGTGAAACCATTATTACATATTTTTAAAATACGCCCTATTATTATTTCGCCTTAATCCTGGAAAGTGAATTTGATAAATAAGATTGCCCAGGCAGAGCATGTAAGCCTGAAGGTCGAATTGGAGCCATGAAATGTGAATGCAAAATGAATTATTTTCTAGGATTGTGCACATTAAAAAAATCTATGATAACCCGACGATTTTTAAATATGCATTAGTTGCATTTTTTCACTGCCCTTTACATGCGTTTTTGCTGCCAATTTGAAAAATAGCTGTTAGTTTCATTTGAGAATATGGACATTTAGAGCACAAACATTTTTGAAACTATATATTCATACAGTTTAGTCCTGTTCCCAGATTACGATAAAATATTACGAGTCGAAATAAAAAAGATATGAAATTATACTAATGAAAAATCCGATAAGTCGACCGTTTGGAAATTTATATATGTAATTCTATTTAAGCTCGCAAGTTGTAATAAATATCGAAAACTAGTAAAAAAACTAAAATACGTAGTCAAAATAACTAGCACACAGGAAGTATTTCTTGGAATTCTTATTGGTCATTCACTGCTGTCGGATAGAACACACAATTGATATTAGGTCACGCTTAAGAAATAAGTCACATGATGCGAAAGCACGCGAGATCGCGAGAGCAATTGCGCTCAAGATTCTAATTTTTTTCATACGTTTCATTCTCCCGATATTTCAAAACAGAAAATTTTTCTGAAGAACTTTGACCATCAATAGCAGAGCAGCCAGACATTTTTTGATAATAAAAGTTAGGTCAGATCCTCTTCTTTTGATGCAAAATGACCATGTGCTGTATATCGACGAGTTATAAATGAATGCGTATAATAACAATAAAAAACGATCTGCCAGAAAAACACTTCATATTTCGTCAATTTCTGAAATTAGCTGATAAGCGTGACGATCAATTCTGTAAAGCATACTAAAAGCTCCCTCACTTAACAAAAACCCATGGTTATGCACATGCGGATAAACCAAGTAGATTTAAGACACATCTAACGATGTGATTATGTGTTTTTCCTAAAAAGACTTTCAAAAACCTCTATATATCGAAAACAGTTGAACATAGATGAATGATGGTCAGAAACGTTTTGATGGAGCGTATAATTCGGAAAAGTAAATTTCAGTGCTTAATAAAAAAGGAAATTTAGAAAGTTCTATATAAGTTTATTATAATATACAAACTACGATTTTATATACGATACTCCGAGTCCATGGATTTTCTGTCAGCTAACTATTCCTGCACTGCTATCAATAAATTAAAATATTTAACACAGTACATATTTCAGAAAGCATATGATATGGTAAAGGCCTACTTATTGATGTATCGAAACAATATATACTGAAGGAATGACTTGTAATTGTTCAGTGGTAAAACAGTAACGGATAAAAGACAATATTGAACTATTCCCGCATGTGTTGTGTTCCTTTGAACGAGCCTCTTGAAATGACATTATAATTGCCACTAAAGCAATGCCTGATTGACGATACTTGAACTGATTTAAACCAAATAACTTATATGTATGTGCTCACACCCTGTTATGGTGTTGGAAAAACCAACTATAATTAACAAATTCTAGTTGCTGCTAAAATTTGTGGAGATAAGTTGGTTTAGCCTTTTACCATTCTCAATTAGATTATTCGATAATGTCCGATATCTCAGATTAAAATTTTGACCAGCTTAAAAACGTATGAAATTTAATTAGTACTTAAGTTAAATACGTGCTATATTTTGATCCCGAAACTTCAATAGAATGTGAGTGTTATCCTCATGACTACTATGAGAAAAGCATACATTTTTGGACAATTTATTTCCGAAGGTAAACTAAAATGATTCATTTTCATATTTTGGGTTTGGCTTAGAAACAACGTACCTGAAACAAAGTACCATAATTTTTCAACTTGTCACTGTCAGACATTTATATTTCAGCCTAGTCAAAAACAGGCCCATTTTTTGTAAGAACATTAGGCACCTCTAAATTACTTTTAGCCTCTTTAACTTTTATTGGCCAGTCAGCAAATGGCAGCTTGTAAACCATGTGGGCAACTGCCCAAAGTTGGCAGACCTTCACCGCGGTCCAAAATGAGTTGCCCTCCGTGTCCCTGTCCTCCGTGCCCACCTCCAGCTTGTCCGTGTCCGCCGCCATGTACCTTACCCGTAGTCGCTGATGGTTTACCAAAATACGTGATAAATCCATGCGACCCAAATGCCCAAGCCCGACCGGATAAAGGCAAAGACAATCCATTGTGCTGCAATGTGTGTGTTCCCGTTAGCGTGCCTTGCCCTCCTCAGCCTCCTCCAAAGCCCAAGAAGAAGTGCAGATACATTCAACCGGCAAGACCAAAGAGTTTTGCGCCCGAGAGGAAGTACTTACCTCCGGAAATGAAAATGGCCGATGACACAATATATAGAAAGAGTTATATTCCGGTTGAAGGTGCGAAACCCAAGCAAATAGTTCCGGAGAATAACTTATGTGTTGGTGAGGGAAAAATATCTGACGACACAATTAATAAAATGTCATACAAGCCCGTGAAGATTAACCCCACATGCCCCATTTATCCATGCGAGCATAAGCTTATTGGTGAAGGTCCCATGCAAGACATCACGACAAATAAGCACGACTACGTTCCAAAACCTTTTGTGAAACCTGAAGCTATCCTTCCCTTCACGAATTTATACACATCCGATTGTCCTCTAAGCGATAAAACAGTAAACAGAATGTCGTATATGCCAGTTGATTTGAACAGAGCAAAAGTCACACCATTTCTTCCGACTAATGCTATAGAGAGGCCCACAGGTAGAATGAGCGATAAAACTGTAAACAAAATGTCGTACCAACCGTGGGAACCAATGGAACCCATGGATATGCCATGGGCACAAAGACCGCAGTATCAGCCACCTAAACTCCGAATGGAAGACAACACAGTCAACAAAATGAGCTACCAGCCACCAGGTTGCTATGTTGAATGTGCAGATGATGATCCAGATTGCATTGATTGTCCAGAGCCTCCATGTGATCCAAATCCGCCTCAGTGTCCAGGTTCCGCCGCCTGTTGCATGCCTTGCTGTTGCCCCAGAGCTTCGTGTTAGGATGCACACATTTATCAAAATTTTCGCGCCTTATCTACATTTTCTATATGCCTGCATTTTTTTCATACCGTATACGTCCTTGTACAACGTGTCTATAATTTTATATTGCTTTACTAAACTTGAATTGTTTTATTTATTCTACGTTATATACTGAGAAACAGGTACTTGATGGTTGTCGTGAAACTGGGTTTGTACTCCGCAGGAAAACGGTTTCAAAGAAAAAGTGGGCAAAATTTATGGTGATTTAGGTGTAGTGTGCAATAAACATTGCAGGCCCACCCGAAATCTTCAATTTTCCGGACATCGACCTTCTGTTCGCGTGCAAAGTTCAGTTGTGACAATAAATTATTAATGGTTGACATTGTTTTGGGACGTTTAAGATTGAGGCTCCCAAGTGTTAAATTATCCTTCTTGCCTAATTTCAATTTGACAAAATACAATGCGGGTTTATTCATTGCCTATAAGTATTGCATTTATAAATGTTAATTTGATTCAAAAATCATATTGCAAATCAGGTTTGTCAGACTTTGCCGAAGTCGTAGGGTCTACAGATCGTATCAGTATTACGGGAGAAAACTCAAGTAATTTACATTTATGTATGAGACGTTCTGTATAGCTTCAGTTAGCTAAAGAACATTTATGCATTTTATATTTTGTTTCATGACATACATTTTCGATACATCGTACATACTCTAAACATCAAATTCCGCATGAATCCAATGATGAATGATTCAAGGTTTGATTGATCAGTCTTGAAAGAAATCATTATAATACAAATATATTTGTATAAGAAAAATAAAAGGGTTTTCTCGACTCGCAGGATTCAGCACAGCAAATTTGATTTCTGCGGTCGACTAAAAATACCAAAATACTATTGATTTTCTTCTGCAAAATTATCACTCATAATTGTTAACGCTGAAATGCACGTTGATATGGTACAATAGCGTCTCTATTCGCTCACACTAAATACTAACTTAAAAATCGACAGAGTTTCTTATGGGGTTCCAAAATTATTTTAATAGTATACTATTTTAGCTCACAGTTTTCTCAGTTGCATGAAAATATTAAAAACAACTTTGCTCCTTATATTTTGACATTAAAACAGATAGTTGTTTTTCTTATATGTTCAACCCTGTACATATAAACTTGTAACCCTAACTGCAAGATGTTGCAAAAGTTGAAAGGCACATTCTGGCAAGCACAATAAAGATCAGAAGTTTTTTAAGATGATAAATTCAGAATTTTTTGTATATTTAATATGTATATGACAACAATATACAGGGTGTCAATTTGATATCCCAACCCTAATACCTGTCTTGCAATAGTTCTTACAAGAATAGGTTATACTGTTAAATTCGTTGAATAACAGGAAGAAGATCTAGTTCAAACATTGATTTCTTATTTTTGATTTTGATCTTATTTATTGATCATTTTACATCAACAAAAATAACTTTTCACTTGTGGAAAACAATTTTTTACAATAAAACCTGTGCCATCTACTTCAGCACGATATTATTAAATTGCTCAAAATGTTTTCCGGTTTGCTGTAAACAATAATAAGGTCTGTTTTTGAACGGGCTGTTTTGAACACCAGGAATTTACCGGCATTCTGGTACAATTCGACTTTTAAGATTATCCATATCAGCAGGTTGTGTTTTAGCAGCAAAGAAAGAAGGGTGTTCAATCCGGTGATCTTGGAGGCCATTCAATTGGTCCTCTTCTGCCAATCGATCTATCCGGGAATATCTTATCAATGTTAGGGAGGGTTCGAAAATAGACTGTATTACTGTTTACAGGAAAATAGACAACATTTTGAACAACTTATAAGACAGTGCGTAAGTAGATACCATGGGTTTTATTCTAGCAATTTCTCTTCCGTAAATGAAAAGTGATTTTTATCGAAGTAAAATAATCAATAAATCCAAAATCAATTATTTAAACTAGATATTTTTCCTGTTATTCAACAATTTTAACGGTGTAGCCGAATCTTGAGTGAATCTAATCATTTGTACTATAAGGAGACCCAATGACATAATTTTTGTTTATACACTAATCTAAAACCAAAGTCTCAATGCAGGCAAGTTTAATTATTTCTGTAATTTTTAAACGCGATTATTCGAAAACCTCTGAACAAAAAACAACTAAATAGTAACAATGTAAAGAGAATGTAGAAAGAACTACGTTTAAAACGATGTGCCACTTGACCCCCCCTTCCCAATTAAGATTCTAAGGGTTACCACTACCCGTCCTAGGGGGTTGAAACAAGGGGACTAAAAATAATCATTTGAATTGTCCCCCTTACAAATAGAATTTACGGGTCTCCGATTTTTGAAATTTTAAACTGCAAGAAAGATATTAAGCGTTCCTCTTTTGAGTTAAAATTCGGTAACTAACTGCAAAAAAAACATTTGAAATGCCCGTTTTATGAGTCTTGTTACTCTTGCAGATTTTTGTCAAAGCTTGAAAAAATTATCCTTGGTTTTAAGCAACGCTGAGCAAATTTAATCGTCATCAAAATGCAGACATCATTTTCCTTTAGCCAATTAAAAAAGTGCACAACTTTTATTATGCAGGCAATTCAAATTTTTTAATTTCGGCAGCTAAGAAGTGGCCCCTTTTTTCTGTTTCTCATGGATTTTTAGTGGCTCATTTTAAATTGATTAGAATAGTTGCAAATTATTTTAAAAAATGCGGAAAATGTATGTTGTTTTACAATTCGCTTACGTACTTGATCTTATTCCATTTCACTTCACGAAAAGTTAACTACTTTTCAATTATGCTCCCATAATAAAAATGTAGTAACGACTATTATCGCTATCCGTCCGTATTCCTACGAGTTATTATAGACGCTCTTTGGTTCAGATTAATTTTGCTTGTGAACCGCTAGTTTTGTTTCAGCGAATCAAAACAGATCGAAATTGGACGCCTATAAGGCAAGAACCTGACGGAAAATAAGGCAAGAACCTGAAGTTATTCCTATCGGGACTTCTTAAGTCACGTAAAATTTCTCCTGGCGAACAGACGGCACGTTTAAAGTTGCGAATAACTTCACGAAAGTAAGTTCTACTTGTGTGGCTGTTTGATGGCCATGTTTATGATGACAAGTGAAGAATAAGTTTTCGATTGATACGTGAAAAAATTGTTGACTTAAAACGATTATAAGAAAATCTTGTGGGCTGCTGCAGCTGGTTTTTTTACAGGAAAGGGATGCAATAAGCAACATCCGATGTTAATCAATTTTCTTGGTGAGAAAGTTAAGTAACAGCGGATGATACTTAAAACATATACATACAGGGTGTCCCGTAAGCTCATGATCAAAAGGGTACTGCGATATTCTTTGGACCAAAAGAAGGCGATCTGACCTAACTTTTATTATCAAAAAATGTCTGGCTCCTCTACTATTGATGGTCAAAGTTCTTCAAAAAATGTATCTTTTTTTAAAAATCGGGAGAATGGTACATGGTACGATGTATTTTAGTGAAGCTCGCTGTAAATTTGTTCTTAGGTAAGACTCATATTTTGATGAAACAATCGAGTTCAGCCGTTTTGGACAAGTGGTGAATTCTTGAGTGTCGTGGTACAAAAACTAACAGAACTTTTTCGTTGGAGGATGAAATCAACTCACTTTTTTTAGGTTGATGCACTAATAAATTATTCACAATTTTGTGCTCTTTGTAAAATCTTGTAGCATTCACAGTTTTTGTGAAAAAAAATATTTCTGTTTCCTTAACACTGAACAATGTTAGACATTAACTGCAACTATCGTGATACAAGGCATAAAATAATTCTCAATCAATCTCACAAATTCGTTTTGAGTGACCTTTTCTAATGAAGAAGTGGCCGACATGGTCAAAGTATTAGAGTTTTGCGAAGACAATTTGCGTGAATGCGTACGCGTTTACGCGGCGCATATTTGCAGTAAATGTCTAGCATTGCTAAGTGACTAGAAAACACATTTTTTTACAAGGAGCACAAAATTGTGAATAAATGATTAGTGCATCAACGTAAAAAAACTGAGTTGATTTCATCCCCCTAGTTTTCCTAGTTTTTCTACCACGACACTCACAAGACAAGAATTCACCACTTGTCCAAAAGATCTCCATTGTTTCATGAAAATATGAGTCTTACATAAAAGAACAAATTCACAGCGAGTTTCACTAAAATACATCCTACCATTCTCTCGATATTTCGAAAAAGGCATTTTTGTAGAAGAACTATGACCATCAATAGCAGAGGAGCCAGACATTTTTTGTTAATAAAAGTTAGGTCAGATCGTCTTCTTTTGGTCCGAAGAATATCGCAGTACCCTTTTGATAATGAGCTTACGGGACACCCTGTATATATATGTATACTTTTTGCGATTTTTTGCGATAGGCTAACTTTAGAGCAAGTTATCAATAACTTTCAAATTTTAATCTGATTAAATTTATATGCTCGGATGAAAGGAAAAAAGTAGAGAGCTTGAATTCAAAATGGTGAACAGCAAACCAAGAATAAATTCTATCAAGTCTATTGCAATTCGCCAATAGTTTTATACGTGCGACTGAGTATGGTTTTCAGTCTTTTCTCTAGACATCAGATTTATAAATGCAATTAGCACTCAATAGATTTACATAAGCTCTACCCCAAAAAAACAATTGGCTGCCTACCCGTATAATTATAAATCAGTCGGGATAATCGCCCAACGCTAAAACCCCTGTTGCATAACTTTTGCTGACATATTTTCCATTTCTTTTCCACATTCATTACCTACCATATTTATGGAATTAATATACGAGGATAACCTAAATGTCGCACTTTTAAATAATGACATCAAAGCACTTCCAATAAAATTGAAATTTTATAGCAGAATCTTAAGTAATGGAAATGTTATGGTAATTGCAGATTCCAGATAGTGTAACCTGGCACATTTGTAAGCTTTATATAAACTTTTAATTTAGTTAATTCGTTTAAGTCAACTCATTTGCAAGTTTAATTCATTTTGTTTACTAATTCGCCGAGATTTCCGTAATTAAGAATAATACATGGGAGGAAAGTACCGCTACTAAAAAGACAGGTTGAAGATTATGTTAAATATTTTAAATATCCCTATAGATCTTTTTATAGTATTTTCAGTGAAACATGCACCCATCGAACAAGTGAAAGCTCAGACTGAGCAAATGTTCTAGAAACCGGATAAATGGGTTTGTTCTTTTTTACCATTAGGGCACTCGTTAAATGTACTTCTGAACTTTTTAGTTCATAGTTAAGAGCTCAACTCACTTTGTTTCATGTTTAATACGGATTGATTAAATTACGCTTATATGTAACTTTAATCAATGTTTCATGAGAAACAAAAAATACAGTGTATTTATAATATAGCGAAAGCTATATTACCTTTGAACCAAATTCGCGTTTATATGCGTGAATGCGTATTTAAAAAAATCAACCATGCTCCTTGTCAGTAATTCCCCAAGATTTTACGTTATAAATACCGCCCCCAATTTTCTCTAATTAATTGTGTCAAAAAGGCCACTATGAATAAACATGCGGACGAATAAAAAAGCGCATTCTAAATTGTACTTGCTTATTAAGCTACGATGTAAAGAAGGACCGAATTAGCCCATTATCTTTTCGGGCCATAAAAAATTAGATCCTTTCTAAGATAATAAAAGGCACTCGAGCAATTTGCCTGTTGAGTAAATGGGCACTGGCATTATTTTTAATATACTTATTATTTTTATTAATTCGAAGCATCCTTGTCCATAAATGCCTCGAATGGGTATAAGCCCGGTTTTTATTTTTAATTATAATTTAAGCATAAACATGCAACCATATCTTTTAATAGCAAACAGACTGGTATCCGGAGTTTTACGGCTTACCATTATTCTTTGACCACTGGGTGGTGCAAACCTTAATTAGGTTGTTGGAGTTTTACGCATGAAGCTGCCGAGATATTCTCTTTTAGCTTGGTGTTATCGAAATTCATCATTTTACTACTTAATTGAAACAGATTTGGAGCGAAATTCGTATGAGGTCTTCAACTGAGATTCTGAACTCAAAATATGATATAAATTTTCAAATTGCGTTTCTATATTTTTGAGGCTATTTGAGAAAGAAGTCCTAATCTTGATAATGCTTGAAAGCATTTGATTTTATTGCTGTCGGTTTCCAGATATGCATTATTATATTTTGTGCAAGTTTTTCGTATTTGCACTTTTGTACTTTAAAGAAACATTCGGGGTTAAAACCACCAAAGTAATACTTTTGCCCATTCACAAAAAACTAAGTCCTCATTCCACATAGGTGTCATCTTCCAGATTCACTAGTTTCATTATCCAGTAACAAATAATAATTAAAATGACCAAGATAAGATCAAACGCACAAGTGACCTACACAACAGTTAGCTGATCAAAATAAAAACAAAATTTTGAAAATCTAAGAAAACAACTCAGTTAACTCACCTCGGAAAAGCCAGTCTCATATCTGTCTTCAGCTTGGTTAGTAGTTCAGAAACAGTTCCAAATTGTCTGAGAGTCATTTCGGACCCAGATGATGTTAGCATGGGGTTTCGGTAGTCCCGAAACGAATTCGTTTGAGATCGAGAACTTTCCAGATCTGATGTACTTGAGGTGGAGTAAAGCGACATCAGACCGCCGTTGGACGATTTTTTGCCCCATTTTTTCAACATCAAAGCGTAGTCTTCGGGATTGTAAATTGGTGGCCTTTGTTTTTCCTGTAAATTCATTAATTTCAACTACTTATAAGTATTTTATTCTAAAGACAAAACTGTGTATTAAAGTTTGCTAAAAAAATATATATTTGTTTCCTGTTTCATTCACTAAGCAGTACATTCACGTTGGAATTGTGAAGAAATCTAAGACGATCTTTCAAGAGGAATTGGCCTTAATATGCTAACAGCTTTGTTGTTCAAATATGGATGTACGAAAGAAAATATTGTGGTTTTACATCCTAATTAAACACACACAATAGCAAAGCGCTTCAATTGAAACCTAGCAAAAATTGCTAAATAATTAGCGGCAATCTTAAATTACAGAGTAGAAACTATCCAATCACCATTCTCCGAAACAGCTGTTAGTTTCGTATAAATCAAGTTCAATAATAGTAGTAACAATTAATTCGCAGATGCCAATTTTTTCATGTAAACTTGCGATAAACCTGCCCTAGTTATTGAAAATAAATTTACTGCCAATAACTGTATTAGCAAGTTTCACTATTCCGTCAATATACCAAAGATTATGTTTGGTATCTAAACTTTCTAGTTTGCCAATTTTTCAATCCATTTATTTATAAAATCTTGGACACACGTTATGAGTGATGTGATTTGGTGTTAATCGTGTAATTTAACCAAATTTAAAAACCGCATAATAAATGGCCTAGCAGTTGTGAGCTAGTTTTAATCATCGTTTTCATTGGAAATCAGATAATATTTGCAATGTAGATGATAGATAGAAATTTCCATTTTTGCTTGTTGAAATTATACTTAAGTAAGTGTAGCCTTGTATTTTTTTGTTACATAGAAATTTTCAAGCTAATTAATAAGTATGTAGGTTACATTTATCATGGATGGGTGCAAAAAAACTGAAGTAGATGTATTCATATTTCATCCAGTTTAGGTGTTTGTTTCCATGTTATTAAAAAACATAATTAACTAAATTATCGATGAAATTACGTAACACCATCAAACGAAGTTAGCTTCTAAAATTATATCCTATACATACATACATACATACATACCTTATTAATGATTTCGTCTAGCAAATTAAACTGGCCTTCGCTTCTCGTATTTTCTTCTGAGCTGGGTGCCATGTTACTTGCAGAGTCAAATAAGTCACTAAAATGGAAATAAGAAATTAATAGAAAATAGATTTTATCAAAAATATGTAAATACAATTTTGCGCTTTTACAGAACTTGCGCTCGCTCTCTCTCTTAAAATATTGGGATTTCTAATCAAACTAATTGTTAATTAGGGTTCACAACAAAACGCTCATATCGGTCAGCAAATTTTCTAAAAAGGCAGAATATAGTTAAACAATTCCACGATTATTTTTATAACGACACGTGAAAAACGTCTACTTTTACTATTTACTAACCTCGAGTGAAAAATCTATAGAATTTCAACTAATTTGCCTAATGAACGTGCCGAAAAACATAATTTACATATATTAAAATACCTAATAATTATCATGGTGAGTATTTCCTAGCTGAGCTGAACAAACACTCACGTTTTGGTCAATAACACCTAAACAACAGATTGCGAAAAAGTCAATGGCTCGAAATTTTACCTACAGAATCCGTAGAGCAGCAATTTCAACCATGATTTCCATTTTGGTAGCCCAAAATAAACACTTAACGATGAGGAGAATCAGCAAAAAGTGAGCTTTTGCAAATTACCCATTGTTTTCTTGACTTTGAAATAATTCGAGGTCAACTAACGTGAGATCAGTTTGAATTATTAAATAATAAACAAGATCTTTTATGGTGAAGAATATATCGAATAGGTTTGGAACAGAATTCCGTAAAATTACTTGTCGCAAACCAATCTACAGTAATTAGATGTAAATAAAGAATTAGTATTTTGCTCTGATAAATGGAAGCTGTTTAAATAGGTACCATGGTTCGTAAAAAAACCACTAAGAATACATTAGCAAGCCAAGTATTAATTGTTTAGAAGCAAGAAATTTGAAATTAAACATTTTTAACGTTCTTACTCTTAAAACGGTAAAAATATACTATACACAATTCAGGACTTTCCTGCCAACAGAGGTGGATGGTTATATGTCTGAATGCCTTGGCCAAATTTTTAACGATGCATGCTTTTAAAATCTAGTTGGATCCGAAAAATAAACTATTACCGCCGTTGAACAAGAACTAGATTCAACCAGGCCTGGGTACTACTCTGTTGAGTGGATGCCGCTGTGTGAGTTGGTGAGTGAGTACTAATCGCGCCCTTTAATTAGTTGAAATTTTGTTGGTTTCTATCATCGCTCCGAAATTGAGCAACAATTTCATTTTTAAGTGACTTCTTCGCGGCATTTTTGTAGTCAATATTTTTAGAAAAACAAAATTAATTCGGTTGTTAGTTTTAGTTTAGATTAAACGGCTCTAAATTTAAAAATAAATTAGGGAAGATCGGGCCTTGGAGCGTTTTTCGTTTAGTTGCAATGCAGACAAGGACTTTCTACAACAATGTCACCAATAAACAAACTGAAATCGAAATTCCAAGCAAGATCAGCGCAACGAATCATCGACCATCGCGAACCAGCGAATGGTTATTTACTCGTGTTATTATGTACATCCGTGTCATTTTTTAAAAGTTGTAGGTATGTATATTCAGTTTGGTACCGACAGTAGCCTGTGCATCGCGTTCTTTGCTGGGAAATATAGAATTAGTGTGGCCCTTATGGCAACTGCGGTAGTTTGTGAAACTGTAGTGAACTTGTTGAGGATCAATGAGTAGTAAATGGAGGATGGGTCCCCAGCTTGTAGAAAGCTGGTAAGAATGATGTCTAATCTATAAGTCTTTAAGTTTGAACTGAGTTTAGTTTTCCGACAAGCAACTGAAGTTTTATGGATGATTTATGATAATTTTGTATGATTGATTTTATAGATCCCTCTTTGCTCTACTGGTTTCAAATAAGTTTGTTCTTAACACATTTTCTTCCTTCTTTCCAGGTGGCACTAAGCAGTTTCCGCTAAACTTAGCATTACTTTGCCCCTGGTGGCCATGTACATGTAAAACGTTTAGGCTCATATTCATAAACTGACTCGTAGCGTGAATTTGGTATCGATTGAGCTATTGATTATTTCGTAGTTATTTTTTAAACTTTGGGAATATGTTCGGCGGCTTTGTACTTTTTACATCAAGCCCATCTGAAGCTTGTCTCCTAAGAACCGTTTCAGATATGCAAATATGGGTCCCAGATTTATGTTTGTGTGTTTGAAAAAAGTCAAGAGTTTTAATTTTGCCTGTTTTTTTTCTAATTTTGAAGTCGACTGAAACATGACGCTACTTTTTTTGAAGATGCTCAAGAATCATTTCAACCACATAGTTTGTTTTTACATCACTGGATAGAGAATTGATAATTCGATTCAGTTGTAGCAACGTGCGTGAGTCAATTCTGGTGAATTTATCACAAAAAGTAACACGACATTTTAATATCAGACAAAATTAAGCCAAACTTTAATTTAAAAAAAAGTGTTCTACACACTGTCAATCTTTCAAGTTTCTACTGGCTTTTACGGAGGGCGCTTAACTCCCATTAAGGTTATTAACAACAACTTTCCATTGGCGAATTTTTCCGTTCTCGATAACTATTATTTAATGTTTCAAATGGGCAAACATGTTGAATATTCAGCCATCTGGTGATTAACTCGCATTATCATACTACGGATTATCTAGGCGCATTTAATATATGCTAATAAGCTAAAACTGTTTCTTCCTCATTGAACAGCATTTATCTTTCAGGACTCTCTAGGCTACCTCGGTAGCTGAATATCAGATCGAAATAACAGTCATCGAACGGTTTCGAGAATTATGGTTGGGATGGAATAATGGCATCTTCAAGGAGCCTCTTTGAAACGTTAAAGTGGCTGTAATGAATTTCTTTTGGTTGCAAGACTTCTTTAGTTACTCAAATACCCAACGAATTTTCGCATATATTCATAACTACTGGTTGTACTCTGTTTATATCTATGTGTAGTAGAAATAGCGGTAATAAAATTGGTGATTTCAATGTTCAAAATTTGTAATTTATAAATATCAGCTATCCAACGGGAGATTGAATACTCATATTTTCTGGGTAGAGCTTGCTGGCACAAATTAACTAATCTCCTGCTGTTCTGAGACGTGTGAGATCCTATAATTTATGTCCCAATACAAAGCTCAAGAAGTATCAATTTTTTCAACTTCCGCTCTATGTCCAATTAAAATGTTGGCAAAATTCCCATCGGTCGTCTCATATATGCCTTGATCAAACCAGTTTTAATTATATATATTTGACATGTCGGTTATCGAAAACCAGCATCGATCATTTCTGAGATTGTTTCCTTCTAATTAATGCTAATTTGTTTAACTTGATTTAATTGCCCGTCACAAAATGTAAAGGTATTGAACAATATATGCACATGGTACTCTTATCCTCTTATATGGTTATGTAATGATACGGTTTTACGGTAACGTTTTCCCAATGGATATGTAATAAATGGATTTGTAATTGCATATAAGTGCATCTATCGAATTGCGATTTCCGCTTTAGTGTTGAGACTTACGTCTCAATTTATTATGAAAGAAGGTGTTTGTTCTATCGAAAGATATGTTAAAGCTAATGAAATGACGACACAGCCTAATAGGCCAGTTACTAATTTTGCAAGATTTTTTAATTTGCACAAATTTCCAATATTATATCGAGAGAGTTTACAGCGAAATTAAGTCATCAACGGTTTTTAAGAGCAACCTTTTATTCTTATTAATATATGTACAGATAACATTTTTAAAATAAATTGTTTCGCAATTGAGCACTTGCTTCTTCAATAAGTTTTATTAATAGAGCGTTCGATATTTTCAAAATCGAATTTATCTTTCTGTTTTAGTAATGATTACAACGATCCTTTTAAAGACGTTATTATAAGTATATTAAATTATAAGCGTCGAACGCCACCACAGATTTTAGCAAAAGCCTTTATTCATAATGTTGCTATTATAACAACCCCAAATATAACACACACTACAACTAATTTCAAAGAACTTATCACATTTTATCGGATGTTTGAACAATTATATCAGTGAATAAGATTCTTAACTCTACAATAAATCAAATGTTTGTCTCAGTCTCTAAACATCAATAAAGCTGTTTAATGAAATTAATAAGACCAGCCGTTTACTCATGTTGAAAGGAATTTTAATAATACACATATATTCGAGTCAATTTAAAATTAAATTATCTTTAAGTTTTTACAGCGTCTTGACTTCTGCCCATAGCTAGCTCATCAAGAGTTGTTGAGATCCGCAAAAAGTGTTTGTGCCATTATAATCTAATAACTCTTTAATGTGGTACCAATGACCTCGTTTATCATTTTAATGTTCATTTTAAATAGAATGTTTGTATAATTCATAATCTTCCAATTCGTAGTCAATAATGTATATTATTTAATCAATAATAGTACTAAAATACCTATCTATAAATGAGAAGTTTCTAAAAACAAACAATATGTTTCATGGTCATGAAGCAAAGAAGTAATTACTTCAGGAAATACACCGTCAAATGTGCTAATAAGCCACGCTTACTCTACTATTAAGACATAACATTTACATAAATCAGACCGATTTAGCACGAAATAGTTTTTTAAATAATGGCCGTACTATCATTTACATAATAATGGGAAATATCTCGTTTAATTCCGCTAATAAATATTTATCTTTTCAGAATTATCTTCGTAACATTATGTAATTGCAGACATTATGAGATATATGCATGAGCACTTAAAGCAGATGAAGATTCAATACATATAATAAGAATCCTGATTTATAACTCCATGGTATTGTTCATTTCAACGCCACACCGTTTCATTGTTCTTACTACCCGGAGTTTTTAATTAGGAAACTATTTCCGATCTACAGATGGCATACTTTGGTCTAACAGGATTTTCACGTCTTTTCTTCAGCAGTTAAGTTGGAGGACGAACTGTCCAATGGCTAAGTAATTTGAACGGGATTTTTAATTCCGTGGCATCCTAAATGCTCAAGTTAAAAAAAATTTGGGTCCCTATGAAATAAAAAACCGTTACTGGCTCATGATTTTCGATAGAATCCAATAACGTCCAAACTAAGCGGACTTTTAAAAGATTAATTAAGACTGGATATTAAAAAAGACAATTAAAATAGCTATAAAAATGGCATACCTTTCCTTCCTCCTTTCCTCCTGCTGGACCTGTACTAAATATATGGGTAAAATATAGAAGCATTTTATACAGTCTGTCTTCTGTTTCAAGACCTATCAATGTAAAACGTATCATTGCTTCAGCATACAATATGTTTACCATTTAAACCACAAGCTTATTTAATTTTCATCATCAAATATCAATTTCTCTAAGACAATGCCAGGGGCAAAATTTGCTTTAAATATTAAATAATTTACTTGAAATATCTTAGAAGAAAGATGCGAATTTTAAATTACACAATCAAGCATAAATTGAAAACATTAAAATTGAATGTACTTGTAAAACGAATTTATCAGCAAATGTTATAATCATTAATTATGACTTACAAATTTGATAACATCCTGTCGTGATTTTCAATTTTTAAGATTTTAATGCAGCTAGCATTACAACGAGACCTAACTGAAACATAAAACCTGCATATTAAACTAAAAGCACACCTATCTACCTACAATTGATCTGCAACTAATCTTAAAAGCTTGCTACAATATTATAGACATTTCCCGTCAGATCTTCGCATCCCTTTTCAATAATTTATTACAGAGTTAAAAGCCTTTCAGCCACAAAAATAGACTGATAATTAGCACTTAATTTGAAATGGTACAAAGTTCTATCGACTAAAACTAGATCTCGTTTTCCAAAGGATGCGATGGCACAATCTTCGAACGTTCAGACAGTATGTATTAATTATTAAATATTTTTCGCTCATAGCAAACTGATTTAATTAATTAAGCGATTATTGCTAGAACTAATTGCATATTATAGTTTTTGTGTAGTGATTATATCGAAGATCAGGCAATGTTAAGGTAATGGACGAGGGCTCATTAGTAACTTATCGGTAGAAATGACAACTTCTAAGAATGTCTTTTTTCAATGGTTTTGTAAAATGTGCTAATGAATTGTTCGTCCATGAAGAACGTAAAATAGATATACTTTCCGTGCATTAGATTTAATATCGGCAGCTTCCAACTGTACTGTAAAGAGGAAGTTGGTGCCATCACCATCATTTTATTGCCTAAGTATCGTTCTAACTGTTGATTTTATTTTTGATGCAAATTAAAAATGTATTTTAATTTCAAACATATGGGTAATTGCTGTTATGTATTCAATGATGACTTTTTATAGGCACAGAATTAATTTATGTTTATTTTATATGACAGGGCACAGAATTAATTCCGCACAATTTTTACACGACAACATGGTGAGTAAAAAGTCGCTTTTTCAACTTTAATCTTAACACTGTTTCTATATTTTCACCGATTTTTTAAAATTATTCAACATGTGAGAATCAAGGTGCAAACTTATGTATTTTTTTAAATTGTTTAACGCAAACAATTTTATGAAAGCAATTTTTACCTATCATAATATTGTTCATCCTAAACTCAAAATTTTACCTATAGTATAGGTGGTATAATGCACTGTTTGCAGTTAGAGAAATGTTTTATAGTTTATTATTAATAACCAGTTTTACCTTCTGAACTGCCCATAAAGGTTTTAGTGTTTTCATACTGAGTATAAATTATTTGTCAATATGTTTTAAAAATGCTATGATGTCTTGCAAATTCTTTCAAATGTTTAATTTTTATGCTGAACGTCCATATACGTTCATATATCACTATAATCTCACTAATCACACAAGCAAAAGAAATCTAATTTTATCAAAGAAAATACCAAAAAATATTATTTTCGTGCCAGCGATGGATGGCTGTATAAATTCAAAAAGCGATATGGTATCTGTCTGTTAACTATATGTATATGTAAACATAATTAATATTTTTTATTAAGAAGTCAAGCTATTGCTGATAAAGTCAAAGGTCCCCTCATGGTACCAATAATTATTTTTACTGCTTGTAATATATATTCATTTGAATCTTATGACTTAAGACATTAGCAACTTAATGGTCTTCATACCAGATAGTAAAATAAGACGTCCAACTAGGCCAAGAACGAAAAATGGCATGACTTATGCATTTTAATGAAAGTATTAAAGTAACCATTGCCGAGCACAAAAGGCGCCATTAACATTACTTCAGAGAATAGCTACTTTTTGCCGAATTCCCATGTTCAATATCCGGATACAATAAGATTTATGCAGGCAATGTACGGCATGTAATAAAACAAAGTAGCCGCCAAACGCTGCATCCCGCAGTAGTAATATTTATTACTCTGGTCACGTCCTAGGATGACCACTTAAGCCCATAGTTAGCTTTCGTATACTCAGAACGAACAAATTAACATATCCGCTATATTATTTTGCGATACTGCCTATATGGTTGCAAAATTGCTACTTAGATAAGCTGAACTCTAATAAGCTCATTTGCAAAGGATGCGACTTGATAATTTTCGCTTTGAATAGTTTATTATTTCCAGTCCAATTGATGTGCTGTTGTAGCAAAAACGTAGATACAATGTTTATATACGTGTGCATGATAAAACCGAATATCTGAAGACGTTTGCTCTTAAGGAAATTTTTTTAGTCAACGCTTCTTTTTGACAATGTGCGTGTTAAAATTGGGTTTCATTCATTTGATATTCTTTGGGTACTTATTTGATTTTTCTTGAAAAATACAAAAACAATAAGAACAACTATTGGGTTTTTGTGTGTTAATGTTCTCTAAAATTTAAACTAAGTACCTACTCGCTGCTGACACTTTACGACCAGCAAAAATTAAACCTAAAAAAATCAGAAAATCCAGCCTTTAAATTATCCTGACTAGAATTCGAAAATATGAAATTAAATATGTAATTAAACAAGTAATTTATATTTGAAAAATCATCAAAATACAAACTAATAAACATG